CTGACCGAGCTGGGCTACAACGTGGCCCCTGCACCGTGCCAGCGGAAGGACTACCATCGAGTCAACTGGGTCCAGTTTCGACGCGTGGTCGACCGCCACATCGACGACAACCCACCGCTCGACACAGTGGAGGACATCGACCGGGCCCTGGAGGGTCTCCATCAAGCCATATCCGTGGCTGACGAAGAGTGCGTTCGACGAGTTCCTGTGAGGGGTAAGTTTCAAGCAATTGATTCCCACACCAAACTCTTGATTCGGCTCAGAAATGTTCGTAGACGCCAGTTTCAGCGGACTGGGGATCTGCAGCGTAAATACGAAATGGTCGATCTGAATCGGCAGATCGCTTCCAGAATGGTCTCAATCCGGAACGAGAGTTTCGGGCGGCTCGTTCAGAACCTGGACGACCGTTCCAGACCATTCTGGAAGGTTGCCAAGGTGCTGAAGTCTCACCCCAAGCCCATTCCACCACTTAGAGTCAATGACGAACGGCTTATCACCAACGAAGAGAAGGCCAATGCAATTGGGGAGCACATTGCCCAGTCGCATTTGCTTGGCTCTACAATCCCAAGTCCACTCGAGAACCAGGTTGTGCAGTGCGTCCAGACGTTAGATGCCTCCCCTTGTGCCGTCCCTCCAGAAGAACGGATTACAGAGGAACAAATTTGCTCAGCGCTGAAACACAGTACGAACATGAAGGCTCCCGGGTTTGACGGAATATTCAACCTAGAGTTGAAAAATCTCAGCGCGAGGGTGCACTCGCTGCTGGCTGCCATCCTCAACAGATGCTTGGAGCTGCACTACTTTCCAAGCATCTGGAAGGTGGCAAAAATCATCCCGATCCGCAAACCTGGGAAAGACCCTTCACTACCGTCAAGCTACAGACCGATTAGCCTGCTCTCAGCGCTGAGCAAGCTGTTCGAAAAATTGATCCTCAGCCGACTAAACAAGTTTGTGGAGGAACATGACATTCTTCTTCCGGAACAGTTCGGGTTCCGCAAGGGGCATTCCACCAATCATCAGCTAGTGCGGGTGATGAATAACATCAGAAGTAACAAAGCTGTATCCAAGTCCACAGCCATGGCCTTGTTAGACGTCGAAAAGGCGTTTGACAATGTCTGGCACGACGGACTTATATACAAGCTTTGTAACTCCAACTTTCCACCATACCTTGTGAAAATCACCCGTAACTATCTCCAGCAAAGGTCGTTCAGGGTGTCGTTGAATAGTTCCCTTTCGGGACAATTTCCGATCCCAGCAGGTGTTCCGCAAGGGAGTCTGCTGGGACCACTGCTTTACAGCATCTACACGTCGGACATCCCTCCTCTAGGAGACGGTTGCGTGTTCTTTCTGTTTGCAGATGACACCGCGATAGCCGTCAAGGGTAGGATGCCTCGTGAAATTACGAACAAGCTCCAACGATGCCTTGACACCTTTACTGATTATGCCACCACGTGGAAAATCAAAATCAACGCCTCGAAAACCCAAGCGATCATGTTCCTTCACAGACAATCATTAAAACTTAAACCGTCTCCCTCCTGTACCGTAATAATGGATGGTACAAGGGTCGAGTGGTCCACTGATGTTACTTATCTCGGGATGTTGTTCGATGAGAAGCTCCTGTTCCGCTCGCACATAGAGAAAACCCTAGTTAAGTGCTCCGCCTTGGTTAGGTGTTTGTATCCGCTCATTTGCCGCAGATCCCGCCTCTCAAGGCAAAACAAACTGGCTGTTTACAAACAGATCATAGCCCCCGCGATCTTCTATGCCGCCCCGGTGTGGGAATCGTGCGCTCAGACCCACAGGAACAAAATCCAGGTTGCACAGAATAGAGTGTTGAGGATGATCCTAGATCGTCCATTCGACACAAGAATAGCAGACCTCCATCAAGAGGCAGAAATTCCCAAAGTAGATTCCAAAATTGATGATATGACAACTAAATTTATTCAAAAATGCAATCTTTCTGAACATGCTTTAATAAGCAATTTGTACATAGTAGGTTAAGTGTATATAGTAGAGTAGGTTAGTTTTAAGCTGTCAATAGTAGTATTAAGTAGTTTCTCTTCAAATTCCACAATCCCACCAAGGTGGTCGACCGTGTACTAAGTCTAGGACTAATTCTGTAAAACAAATTTTGAATTTTGCCCATACCTAAAGATGAAGAAAGCAATTAAATCACTTAGTAAACATTTATATGGTAATCGTCCAAGTTAAACTAAAATAAAGATCATTTAAACTAAAGTTAAACCTACGTCAAAACTATTCAGTAGCAGTTGTAGAGCATAGCAGTTCTCGATACCTTTAATGATCATGTATATTTTGACGTCATCAGCACGTCACATACGGCAGCCAAATGGTAGTACTAAAGCTTTTTACTAGAGTGCTGCTATGGACGACTGTGACCACAAAACTGAAAAAAAAGGTTGTTCCAATCGAGCAAAGCAGTGCATTTTGACGGTTGATTGGAACAACTTTTGACAGGCGCCCATACTTCTATTTAGAGGACTTTAGGTAGTACGAGAGAAAGCTCTTTGATGAAGAGTAAGAATAACAAAGGACCCAAATGTTTTAGCAATAAAATAAATTTAGTGAACAATAATCTAATCTAATCTAATCTATTCTAATACGAACGCAGCTAGTACTAGGAAACATCCTGAAAAATGATTAGGTAAGATGAGGTCTAATCTAATTGATGTTTACAGCATATCTGAGTTATGATATAAACATCAATACGGCCAGGCCTACTGCGTTGTATTTGCCGCAAAGATGATTCTTGGAAATGAATGGAAACATTTCTTGAATCTACAGGGGTGGAAGGATGCGTGGACATACCGTACCAAACGCTCCAAGTTACTATGTGTAGTTGTTTGTAATGTGTAAATATTTGTACAATATTGAAGAATCATAAAATAATGCAATGGAAGGATCTTACCGAATTTTCTCCTATGTTGATAATGATTCTTTTGCACTTAAAAGTTTCGTTGGGTGCATCCGCTCCTTGTTTATCATGGGGTTTGGGATGCAGTTCCTCGCCATTGCTTGTGGTTATGTTTAGTAATGTGATGGAGATCATTTCTTTTACTAGAAACTACTACTGCGAAAACAAAGAGAAACAGAAACAGAACAAAACAAAAACAACAATCGCAAAAGTTTTCAGGGCAAGAAAACCGCAGACGCAAAGACTATTAGACAGAAATTTGCACTTTTATCACACTTCTTAAATATCTAGTTTAAAAAATCACTTATTTGACGATATGTAAAATATAAAGCACAGTAGGTGCAATGAAACGATCTTCCAATATGCCGACATTTTACCAAAAATGTTCTGCATATACAAATTCTATTCCCATCAAAAAATTTGTCGGTTGCAAGATACTGGCACTAGAACGTCTCAAAATACTGCAGAGCATTGCTGTGTCCCTGGTTTCTATTTTCTTCAAAAACACTCTCACTTGAACAAATGATACATAACACACATCAACGACATTATTTTCTCGATCTATCATAGCAAATTGGGTTCTTTGATTTTGAAAAATATATCGGTTTTTACATATCATCTGAAAGAGCTTCGTTTTCTGAGCACAGCGATATTTTTTTCGAACCCACAAACTTTCATCTCGATTTTTAAATCAAGATTTAAAGCAAAATAACAACTTCACTGTTTGACACTAAACTGACAAACTGACAGCTCGCTCCCATACAAAGTGACACCGAGGGGCACTAATGAGGTGATTTTTTGCAAAATCGATGAAATTTTGGGTTTGGGTTCCATTTTTAATGCAGATTACGAATATGCATTTACCTCAATACCCTTAAAGAACCCAATTGTCCGGCATACATCGTCGTGTTTTATAAATGATTTACGGAAAACTTTTCGAGACTTAGTGAAGCACTAAGTACTTCGTGGAATACTATCTGTAATGCCTTTAGTATGCCCTGATTATCGCACCTTTTTCTCGTTTTCACGCAGTTAAAACGACAATAATCTGATACAGACCCTCCACATTTCTGGTCTCCAAGATTCACTCCTGAACTCCTTTTAGTGATCGATGGTGTGCAAAAACACCGCAGGCAAATTTCGTCACCAGAACTATTCACAAACTTCAAAGTTTTCAAAGAATCACACAACCGAAAAAGTAATTTTAGACGGGAAACACTCGGGAATGCTAAAGAAATTCGTGACAGCGCAAGAAACTCTAAAAAAAAATAAGTTTAGTAAACAATAATGGATTTAAACTATTTTTTTTTTTAAATTGTTCGTTTATTTACTAGGCTCAGTCGTGTGAAACTATGCGGAGCCAAAAATCAGTAATGTTTTAATTTACATTTGAAACAGCAGTAGTTCTAGGTTAGTATCGGGTACCAATTACTCGTGGCGGGCTCGAGGTTAATGGGTAACAATTTCGATTGGAAGGAGCTAGGTAGGAAACTGGTATCTGCTTCCCTCAGATACTACTCTCGAACGGTTGACCAAATCCTAGCTGGGCAGGGGCAAATAGCACAAAAACAGGAGGATAATAAGACTGGGACACAATGGCTTGAAATTGTTTGGAAAGAAGGAGATGGTCACATCAAACTCTCTCAGACAAACAAAAGGTAATTTTATTGAATAAATTTATAGTGTTCATTGTTACAATAATTCAATTAAAATTATGTGTTGAACTCAAACAGTTGATTGGATGCGCAATATGTCATACCTCGGTAATAGATATTCAGTTTTTCAACAAATTCTTATCTTCAATGCACATAATTCGATTCTCGTCGGATTATTCTGACATTTTACATTTGAGGCTAAAATCTATCGGAGAATCTGAAAACATTTTATAAAACAATAATTATTTAAACAATCAAATACGTCCGCCTTCGTCCCACCGTGCACTTGGTTTAGATCGCTGCTTCAAATCATCATCGTCGATGTCTGATGATGGTCTGACAAACCGGAGTACTGTACCTATGCGCATTGTTCTTACTGGGTTCTCTAACTTATAAAGGTGTTTGGCAAACGTAGAAGTCGAATCAGTCGCGATCGTGGCTTTAATCGACACTCAAGTCCCACCGGGATCAAACAAGTGCAACGCGACGCCCGTAGCTACACGTGGGGAGTGCAATTCATTAAAGAAAGACTGTTGATTAATGTGTATTGTGAGTAAATAAAAAATGATAAAAGTGCGGTTTGGAGTGGTACTATTGTTTGTGATCGGTACTTTCGCAAAAGAGCCGAGCAGGTCAACGAGACCGAATATCGTTGTGATAGTGACAGATGATCTGGTATGGGGGAAGTGTGCAAAATTTCTGGAACAATCAGCTGATGGTGCATTTTATCTTCTTCGCTCAGGGTTGGAATGACGTCAGCTTCCATGGATCATCCCAAATTCCTACCCCAAATATCGATGCTCTGGCTTATAATGGTGTCATTCTGAATCGACACTATACACCTCCGCTGTGTACTCCTTCAAGGGCATCGCTGATGACCGGGAGACATCCGATCAATCTTGGAATGCAGCAGCACGTCATCGAATCGAACCAACCGTGGGGATTGGGGTTGGACCAGAAACTGATGCCGGAGTACTTCCGGGAGGCAGGCTATCGGACACGTTTGGTTGGAAAATGGCATCTTGGATTCTTCGAAAAGGCATACACTCCTACAAAACGTGGATTCGACAGCCATTACGGCTACATTGGACCGTACATTGATTATTGGGATCACAGTTTGCAAATGAGTAATGTAAGTATAGTAGGTAAGTTGTCAAACCAATCAAATAAAATTTTACAAACAAGCATCCGCACGAAACCCAATTAGCAAAAGAATAATAAATGCAGGCAATTCGGATAATAACACTTCCGACTGCTTACCTGCTTTATTACCTTTACGCTTTATCATTAGGGTTCAGACTATTCCCGACTCAATTTGCATATTACACACTCTGCGTATCAGTTCTCGCAAACACCGTATAGTCATATAACCCGCATAAAAGAATCTTCATACTCCTGGAGCGCGTCATCTGCTACAAATTAGTGACACAGACATCTCGTTCAGGTATTTGAGATTTACAAGCTCTGACAAGCGTAATCAACGCTTGGAGTCTCCTAGACATAGACGCCTATATCAATAGGAACAAAAGGTAATTTACAAAGCGCACTAATTCACCCCTAGAATGCAAGGGGCAGACACTTGTTTCCAATCAGTTGCCGGTCTGGAAGCATACAAAACCTCACCGCGGAAAAACGTGATGATCGTGAACTAGTTCTCTCGGCGCTTGGGCGGTGGACAAGGTTGGGCGATCGGCTAACCTCTCCAGATACAAGTACAGCCTACAGTTTGAATTATTATCTTATCACACGGTGGGACCTGGGACTGCCTGGCTGACTGGTGGCGCTTGTGAGAAAGAATTAGCATTTGTTTGAGCGTCTTGCTACAATTGCTTGCCCACAAACGGGTGATAATTTGGATGGGGAGTTTGTGATTTATCCCTCGCTTGGGGGGCGAGTAGATATGCTGTAGTTGTGGCGGGAGTGCATGTTAACATTTAGTTGGATTAATTTATGGGTGTTTATTATGGGATTCGTGACGGCAGTGACATTGATTACTAAATGCTTGTAATTCGTTATCTCACTTGGGTCCGGTTTCTAAGAGGAAATGCTTGCTTGAATCGGATGTTGGATCTCGTAATGTTTATTGAATTAAGGTTATTGAAAGCACAACCAATCTGTATGGAAGCAAGCTATGATTTTTTAGCTTGAAGTCTCGTTGCTCGCCAAACCAACCTGGCTTGGCGGTTATAAGGCATTGGGTGATGGGTTTGAATTTTAGTGAACGATTGATAATCACTGGATCAACGATCACACGATTCTAGGACATTACCTGGAAAACCATTCACCGGAAATCAATTTCCTAGTAGTACATTACCCGGAACACTTATTCCCGGAAGCGTTTGAGTTAGTCTTCCCTTTTCTGAAGATCTTGCTTTCGACGATATATTTTGATTTTCTAGAGCAGTGTTTCTCAATCTGAGTGGGTCGCAGGCAGTGATGCAAAATATCATGACACTCACGTGACACTCGTCTACCCATCAACCGACTATCGCTGACAGAACGTTTTGTCACGCAGTGAGAGGTAGAGCCATGGCAAACAACAATCACCAGTAATGGTCGCTGCTCAACAAGCAAAACGTTACACTCGCTGCTGATGATGAAAAGCACAACGAAAATAGTGAAGATTTCTGCAGTACTATGATGAGAAAAAGCGAAACGACAGAAGAAAATCAAAACAATGCCTACGCATTCCAAGTTTGTCTTGGCAGGCGCGACTGTGTGAGTTACAAACAAAGCAGGCAACATTAAACGGAAGCTGTTGGGCTCACTCACCAACACACTCACATAAGCAAGCAAAGCAGCAACTGCTTCAAAATGAGCACAGATGAGTGTCGTGATTGTCGGGAATGACCAGATCGGTGATGGATCACAACCGAAGACGACATTCACCATTTGCTTTTTACTTCTTTCGTCAACTTGATGGATGGTTATGGAGAGAGTTTCGACGAGCACATTGATAGGAATTTACAAAGCGTTACTACCATCAGCTGTTTGACGATTGTGAGTGTGATAGGTTGCAACTCTGGTCGCAGGCTGCCCTGAGGTGGGTCGCAGACATTTAGACAACTTGGTTATAGGTTTTTTTTTTAAATTGCTTGCAGAATTTATGTGATTTCAAAATTATGCTGAAGTATTAAATTTCATAGAAATGTTGGCATTATACAGTCAGATTGGTGTATTTAGGGCCATTTTAACGTTTCATTAATATTATGAGAGTTGTCACACACCTAAAAATTATGAATTTTAATGGTGATGTAAATATCCATGCATGCTAAAATTGAAGCATGCAAACTTCCTTTTCACGTAAACTAGCAACTTGCAAGAAATATTGCTTACAAAGATGGATGGTTGCATACAATATTTAGAATATTTCATTAAATGGCTCATAAATTTACACGATCTGCAATGTGAATTTGTATGATATGTGACGCTCCATTTATGTGCATCATAGTGACAGAAATTTACACTACTTTTTCGAACTGTGCAGTTAGGATGGATGTATGAGTTAGGTAAAGGAGTGTGTGTACGACTAGTACTGTCGCATTAGTGGCCCTTCGCTCATCTTCAACTTCTATTCAATTTTCACACTGCAAGAACAAATTTTAGGGAAGGTACAAATCGGTTTGATCATCTCTCTTTACCAAACTCCCCCGTTGGAGAGGGATGGTGAGGGGTGTCCCCCCCCCGCCATCACTGGCAAAAAGAGATGATCCCCAACTCGCTCATGTACCGACGATGTATTTGAAACTGTTCTATCGATTTTTTCCGCACTCAAGTTATCTGAAGGAAGGCATCCAGTCGTAGGTTTGGAAATTGCAGCTATTGTTACCTCTACCACGGTATGTGCTCCTGTCATCGTCGACTTGACGATCTCGAGGTGGGTAGATGCTTTCACAACAGTCCATGAAATTTTCACCAAACTATGTATTTTCTAAAATAATCATAAAAATTAAATTTTCCTTAGAAAATCATCCATCCCACCAGTAAAAACTTGAATTGCGTTGAGGAACGTTTAACCTGCACCCATGCAAATTGTTCCTAGAACTTGTGAGAAAATTTTGAGAAGATTTAATTTGCAGCATTCTACGAAATTTTCACAAAACTACGTATTTTCTAAAATAATCATAAAAATTAAATTTTCCTTAGAAAATCATCCATCCCATCCATATAAACTAGAGTTGCCTCAACGTTCAACCTGTACCCATACAGATTGATAATGTTTGTTTAAAGATATTTAAAAATGCTATCTTCCATGTTTGATGGTTATATACTTTCAGGGGTAAACAGAATAATTAGCTGGATGTAGGTATTCAAGGGTATTTCGATATACTTGTTTTAAAATCACGTTTTTGGTCATTAAGTTGCGTAGAATACACTTAAGTAATATATTTTTTGGGTTAAATCGGCCTAAAATCGCCCAAGAAATCTAAATCCGAAGTCAGATTTTACATATAATTTATTCTAAAGAGTTTTATATAAGTGAGTATGGTAAATTTTGAGGTACGTTAAAAATGAACCTCAGATTCGGAAGGTACGCTATTGGAGCACTACAATGGTGAAGGTTTTGGAAGGTTTAATGAAGATTTTCGAAAAATCACCCGTCTATTCAGCAGGACACTCTAAAACAAGGAATTTGCGAGGTACATTCAAAATCCTTGAAGGTACGCTACGGTACGCTGTTGGTACACCACGAAAAAACAAAATTTTATCAACTTTTGTGAAAAGTGGCCTGCTGGATAGATTGACATGGTACAGTGGGGTAAAATATTCTTCGGTCGCGTTTCTTCAATTTGGGCTAGGCTACTCTCCAACACTACCCATGCGCTTAGGTAACTCATTCAGTGTTTTCAGATATTTTTTGAACATTTGAGGCCATTTTTGACGTAGGACTACGTCTTTGATTTCTATATGGGGGTACACTTTGTGAAAACCGAAAACGGAACATGTAACAAATTAAGAAAGATTTTGAACGTTAATAACTCAGCTGCCCCTGGTTCAATTTCAATAATTTTATCACCAATCGATCAGAAATATGGCTACGCATCGAATGTTAATTTTCAACAAGAAACTATTGAAAAATGGGTAAATGTCAAGCATTGTCCAAAAGCGTTGAATTAACTAACAAATCCACCAATTACCTACATGCATATGCTGCTTCCCCAGCACAGTCGTCAGAGAGTAGTAAGTAGACGAAACAAGTCGAAGTGGCATTTGCCTCCGATCCTCGGGCGCGTGCGAATAGGGAGGATGGAATTGCGTAATAATTTGCACACTCATCGCCATATTCAGAACCAAACGCAAATTCTTCGAGATAACTACCATCCGTGTCTGACATATCTCCGGTCTGATTTACGAGGTGTGCTGAAGGTGTTCCTGAAAAATGAGATCCGTGATGCTGTCACCTACACTAAACACGCCAAGCGTAGATGTCATCTACGTTTTGAAGTGACAGAGACGCACTCTGTTTGGTTTCGGAGGTTAAATCATCACTAACTTTGGCAACAAAACGGCTCTTTTCAGGGCCACCAAGCTTATTACAGTAAAGAGTAGGAATAGAATTCATCTGCCTGTTTGTCCATATTCAGAACCAACGATCACAACAAATGCTCATGTAATCAAACTGGAAGCAGGGGTACAAATTATTTTGATCAACCTTGATCAACTTTGAATCGCCACGGCCAGATATTTTCGATGGAATAAGCAACAGTCTAGCATCTAATTCGACGAAGACGGCAGGAAACATTTGTGAAGCCGAGTTATTTACGAAAGAGAGTGTCGATGAAGAGAATCGATCAATGTAGATAGGACCTATTGAAAAGTGACGCGAGATTTGTTTTCCGGTCTGAGCTCCAATGCTACCAACGCCAGGGAGGCAGCTCCCACACCTGGACCCTACCACTCGACCCATCAACTCAACCCGGGGACCAACGGCTTTACTTCCCGAAGGAAGAGATGATATGCCTTAGAACATGCCGGTGGCGCCGACTGAGATTGGACCCAGGCCTGCTGGGGTGAGAGGTAATCACGCTAACCACCGGCGCCGATATCTTTCAAGGTGATATCACGGCGAATGAGATCGACCCAAATTTGAGTTTAGTTATCTCAGAAATAAGAAATAAAGTGCAAAAACTC